CGTGTTAAATACCAAACATTGACCAGAGAAGCCTCAGCATGATATTGTGCTTCTAACCCTCAAATGAATCGTGCTACGTTTCATTCGCTGCGGATGAAGGAGCATATCAGGCGGGATGGGTTTGGCAGGGCCAAGCTCGTTTTTCTCGTGTTGAAGCTCGCAAGCGACAAGATTGTATCATATCGTTCGTTTCGGACGTTTTCCACTGATTGTTGTCGGCACCTCGCCGAACCCATCCCACCTGACATGCCCCTTCATCTGTAGAGAACGAGACTAGAGTTCGGCCATAGTCATCAAAACTGCGCTTTCTGCTATGCGGGACACACTGAAGTGAACATGGTACTGCATGTTCTTCAACCATCCTTAGGCTCATCCAATATCCATTTTGGAGGCATGATGTGAGGAGGGGGAGCAATGTCATTGTAGCCTTGGGCAGTAGGCAACAACTAGAAGGCATGGGAAAGACTTTCTGGGAGATTAGGTGCCATTATCAGTCACAAACTAGAGGCGTTGAAGGAACTACCTGTGCATGCGGCTCCGGCTCTGTGACGATCTTGACAAAACCAGCTTACCGCGCGCGCGTCCCTGCTTGCAAAGCCACAATCCTCATTTTCTGATCATCAGGCTCACGGTCCTTGCTGTCGCAGTCGAGCAAGAAGTTTAGAAGGCTATGATGTCGTGACATTGTGAATAGTACGGCTTATAGTGCTAGCTTCTAAGTTATTTTTTCACTCCTGTTCGTTCTAGGTGGCTTGCGTGCCAAGCGGATTGTCGAATTCAAAGCGTCACTTCCGAATGCTTCTGCTATGAATCCATTCGCTGAACATAAGCTCGTGACAAGTTTCAAAGATTTGGGAAAGGGGCCGAACAATGGGGTTGCTGTGGTAGGGAAAATTGTATCGACGGTACCTCATGAAGATATTGTACCGATGTGAGTTCCGATTTGGTCTTAGAATGCGTTTTAACCATTATTGCAATGTAAATGGCACTGCTAACGTCGCCAGATCTATATTCAGAACATCAATAATGATGGATGCAGACGGTGACTGCGTTGCCGTTTCTGTCTATAATTGCGCCCCATCATTAACATTTTTCATTGGAGACACGGTGGCTGTTGCCGATCCCTATGTAACAGAAGTAGAGGTAATGACATTTTTTTCTTTTTTGGCTATTCAGATGTCCATTGGAAATATTTCTTTCCAGAATCTGGATCTTCCCGATTCATCTGATGTATCGTTCCGATCCGTACGAGTACCCAATCCATCGAAAATTTCTCGAAATGGTGGCTTGCCGAAGTCTACACAACTTGCCCCATCCCATTTGAAAATCTCCGCATTGTAAATTGAAGTAAATAAATATAAAGTAACGTTGAGATAGTTTATACACCATAGGATACGGATTTGGGGACTCCAGTTACGGACAAAACGACTCTACGCCGGTCTGCAGCAACTAGTTCTTTGTGCTTGGACCATTTGAGCCCTACTAAACATAAGCTTGAACCATGCAGAAGGGTAGAAAGATCCTATATGTTTAGCGGAGTTTGATCCGCGAAGTGGGGTTTTTTTTAAGATGAGAAGGGGTCCTATGTGCACGTGTCAATAGTGAACAGGGCTATAGGAACGTCTGTGGAACAGAGCCATTGCGTTTGTGCCACGCCGAGAAGCTCATTATCTCCGCTGAGTTGTTCACCAATTTCATCACAAAAAACCCTGAGGAGGGTGGCAAGGAATTTCCAGAAACATCGATGAAAATCTTTCTTCCTATATCCGTATTCACATTAGTGTCACTACCATTCTGAGGGGAATTTCAATATATAGCGCATAACGCAAAGAGTTTCGGTTGCTCGCGGGCCTAATTCCAAATTAGTCCATTGAAAGATGTGTAAGGAGAGCCATCGAGCTTTTAAGGTGGAAATGCGGGCGATATTATGTAGGACCCTCCTACTGCAACCGAGAAAACTCTCGGACAGGAGTCCGCGATGGGCGAAATTCCGTAAGAGGACATATCACAAAAGCGTTCTGTTTTTCGACAAGAAGATCTGCTTTAGTTTCCAAATTTGTGGCATTTGCTCTGTTCTCCGATAACGAAGTCGTGTCCATTGAAAGGTAAAAAATTTTTCTCGTTCTCTTTGGGCGTTAGCCGCGATACTACTTGGGCAACTACTTTAATGCACCAACCATGGTAACCCGCAGTTCCAGAAGCCCTACTCTCTACGCTGGACATGGGAATCTCCTGGTGGACAATTCCATAATGAGATCGACCACATCATTCAGTCGAAGGCTTTGCCTGACTGATCTTGAGTTCTACTCAGGATCCGACCACCTTCTCCTTCGCGCAAGATTCCGCTTTTCGATGCGAGGAGAGAGAGCCGCAAAGTTCAAGAAGCGAAGCCCAAGACCGTCATCAACTGGGATCACTTCACTTCTCTCGCTGGCCTCTGGGAGGATTTCGTATCAACAGTTATAGAGCGTCTTCACGACTGCGCCAAGATGTCAGAGACTACCAAGATTGAACAGCAAGCGTCTCTGCCTGGAAATTCTCAAGCTTATTCACCAACGTGACACCGTACGGGCCGCAAACAGTACCAGCTGACGTCTGAGCTTGCGAAGCTATGCAGAGAAGCGATAAAGGAAGACGAGAGAAGAGCAGCAGTACTGGTGGAAGCCGCAGAGGCTGGGAAGAGCATACGCAACGCCCGCCGCGACTTCGCCAACTGTAAGACCAAGATGACCGCCCTCCGACGTCCGGACGGAACAATCACTGCGTCTCGAAGAGCAATGGAGAATGTCATCCATGTCTATAATCTGTTTGACAGCCACGTCCACCTATCATCGTGCTCCTCGGAGCAAGATGGATACGTCGTTCACTCAGCTCTAGAAGCGACACGCGACTTCGTTGTTAGAGGATCGTACTGCTCGCGCTCTCAAGAAGATCACTCAAGAAGATCAGACCTGAACATCTGAAGAATCTTCCGCCAGTTCTCGTCAAAACTCTGGCTCGACTCTTCACGCGCTACCTGTCGGAATGCAAGGTACCCACCTCGTGGAAAACCAGCAAGTGTTTTGCTGTACAAGAAGGGAGACCTGTACGACATTGGCAATTATCGCCCAATCTGCCTGCTGTCTGTAGTCTACAAACTCTTCACACGAGTCATCCTGAACAGGATTGGCAGAACACTAGACGAAGGACAGCCATGCGAGCAAGCAGGGTTTCGAAGAGGATTCAGCACGATCGATCACATCCACACGGTAACGAAGCTCATCGAAGTATCGCGAGAGTACAAGATGCCGTTATGTCTCACCTTCACCAACTTTAAGAAAATCTATGATTACGTCCCCGATCTATGGAATCAAATGGCGAGATCATGTAATGGAGAGACATCCCAAAAGTTCACTAACACACGGAAGCATAGAGGAAACACCGCAATTCAATTTAAAATTGAAGCTCAAAGTAACCTCCCAGTAAGCAAGCTTTAGAGTGTTCCTCATTGGGAGATTGCTGCAAGAGCTCCCACAACTGGTCAGTCACATCGCTAAAATAGTCCATCCTACAGGGCCTGCCGTGTCTCATCATGATCAATTGCTGTGGATTTGTTACTACCCTTTCTTTCATTCTTGATTTATTCCTTGCAAGCAAATGTTAAGAGCTCCTACGGCTCTATGCTCCTTTTCAATTTGTTGCCTTGAGTCCCTTTGGAGGTCCTGGGGATCTTGATTCATTGGCTCGTCTTTGCTTCGTCAGCGATACTTTGTTTACTTTCCATTCGAAACCAAAACCCTTCAACCTCAAGGTAGTTAAGCAGGACTTCGTGCCTTTAGGCTTGTCCTCCCTTCCTGAAATCTCCGAAGAAATGGAGCAGCCACTACCCGATCAACAGCCATAAGAGCAAATATTTGAAGAAGAACTATTGGAAGCGGTCATTCGTCTGTACCCTAGATGTATGTACATTTCAGGCAGTGAAATCGGAAACACCGACAACGTCTTAAGCACCTACGACTAATTCATTCAGGAGAAGGATTCGGACGCCTGTATGAGTTTAGAATGACCACCATGTCGTCAATGACGGAGCATAAGCCATCGTTGCATGAAAGATTGCGTTGGGCTGGAACACAGTTTTCGTTGCACACTGTTTTGAACATAGTAGGTAAACGCAATACGAGGGCAGCATCTCGCGAGATAGCGGCAGCACAAGCTAAGGATTGGCCGCTGTCTAAGGCATGGTCCCAAACAAGTGAAGACATCTCGAGCTACGCTACTGGGCAAATAGGTTACGAACAATGTCCCCAAGTAACTCTGATACCTCAGGCCAAGGACAGTGCCGTACCTCATATAATAATGTGGACGCGTCATGAGCGAGATGTCAGTAGGACGGCTGTACTGAGTAACAGAATGGTACAAAGAGTGGCGCGTCGAATTTTGGAGAGCTACATTTCATCCTAGGGGAGTCAGTACAGCAGAATGCTTTATGCCATAAATTTTGCACTGGACAAATCCAAGAGTTCTATCATCACGTTTGATCCACAGGAGGTTCCGAACTGCAAGGTTCGGCGACGACATATAATAAGGAGAGTGTTGGGATTGTACTGCATCCAGCTGGCGCAGAGCTGTGTTGGAGTTTAGAAAGACAGCACGGGATTCAAATGTTAATTAAATGGGTTCCCAGATCAGATAATGAAGAGGCAGACTGGGCTAGCCGCCAGATAGATCAGATCCGATGACTGAGTGTAGGACGTGTTTTCAGGGCGTCGTTCCACAACCTACGGGGCCTGAGCCGAGCACCGGCACGAGGCTCTATAATGATGAAAATTGTACAAAATTTATGAACTCGATCTATAGTATCTCGGATCTGATAATAACTTCGAAGGGCTATGAAGCAGTGAACTATGGCTACTGAGGCGCTGTATACAACTTGACGATAAGCTTACAGCTGAGGATAATACTGTTAATCTGAACACTCAAACTATGCTGACATATCGTTGATTTGAATTTAATAGGAGTTTTCTAGAGGAAAGACCCTCGGGAATCTGGAGGGGAAAATGTTGGGAGCGACCAGCCCATTGCATTACACAGCCTCCTTTGCAGCATATCATGTCGTATGAAATTGAACTGTGAAATAGATAGATATTTAATTAAGTTAGGTCATTGTATGCAGTGTAATTAACGTGACCTCAGTGTGAGGTAGAGAATGTGAACCTACTGGAGGGTGTTAAGCCAACGAAACGTTACATGCCCCTCTCGTCGAACGCACGAATAGGTCCATGGTAGTGTGATTGTAATATGGCGTAAATAGTATTTGTCACCAAGCTGGTGATTTTATTTGGCTGTGCACTGTCTTTTATGCTGGACAAAAAGGGTGTTTCATGTTTCATTGGCAAGACTGTCAATGAGAGAAGGCACGCCGCAACCAGGAGAATCAGGCGTGCGTGCTCTGATCTGGAGGTGTCTGGTCGATGGCGGTAGGGCTCCTCAACACTCACGCCCCACCCTTGTTTTCCTCGACACATACACAGCTCGCTTCTCTTCGCTGCAAGACCGAGCGGTTGCGTCCCCCAGCGCCTTTCTTCTTCTTTGTGTTCTTTTATTGTTATAAATATAAATCGTTTGTGTACAGCTTTCTGTATGTCTGATACATGAATGACGATGAGGCACACTGGGGACTGAAGTCGTGCTGGATCATGTCGACCAAGAACTGCACGTGCGCTCAGATGAGGAAGCAAAGCTTGCTCCAAAACAAATGGCAGACGGGCAAGAAGATGTATTGAAGAAGAATCTTGAAGTTTTCATAGTTGGTGAGAGGAAGTATGTTGATGTGTGCAAGTAGTGATATAACAGCGGATAACTGAGGGGAATGCTACAGTGATTGAAAGGAGGAAATAAAATAGAGAGTCACGCCCATATTGGAGGCTCTCTCACAGTACTTACGGGAAGCGAGAAGGTGAGGCAATAGGTTATACGTATGATGCTCTGTCAAGTGGTTAAACATAGGTAGTGAAAGCTGTCTTATTTACCTTAAAGCACTCTAATAACAGTGGGATTAAGTGGTGGCCTTAACGGTTGGCGATTCTAGTACCCTTCCTCTGGTTTTTATAGAACAAAGAGTTGAGCAGTCAGCTTCGTCCACGCAGACGAAGAGAGCAATGCTGTTGAATCTCACAAGCGCGTTGATCTAACCGATTTGTGGTAGTCGGAGTCGCCCAAAGATGGGACCTTTTTTTTGTGGGTAATATATTGAGGCTTGATTGGAAAATTGTGAGACACCTACCCTTCAAAGAACTTGAAGGATTTTCTCTCACGTTAAGACGCATGGACGAAGCTCCGAGCACCTTGCGACACGCATACAAGCGCGCACCATCTCGCGAAGCCAGTGTGCCTAAAACGCTAATCAACGCGCTAAAATCGCTTCTTTTAAGAGGGAGGGGGGAGATACAGTTAGAGTTAGGAAAGATGGAGGATAATTTTTTGTACAACTTCCTACACGGTTACTGTTATACACTGTGATTGTATAAAATGAGTCCTGTCTTCCCTAGAAAACCCTAGATTTGAGATATTCAACGTGTCACAATGGATGTCCTAGTGTTTTACCACCGCATTCGCCCTTGATCTTTCGCTAGATTAGTTGAGACGTATATTATGAATCCATAATGAGAGCGTCAATATGGTCAAAATTGGCCACATGATAAAAATGGGTCCAGGAAACTCGGATCCAAATACAATAAGCTCGTCCTGTATGCCCCCGTTATATTTTCAATAATCAGAGGTGGTCAGTAGACAGCAGTTTGAAAACATAATGCTATAGCCCATATGTTTGAACGCCAACATCGCATGCCGAATGGGGATTGCTGACATAACACCATATTTGTCTAAACAGAAGTTAGATGCGCCGGACCTTTTCTGGATTATCTCCAGCTTCTGTGGCGATTCATTCATTTTTGCAGACACTGCCTCCGAAAAGGCAATAGGTTTCTGACTCGTAGGAATCCTCTTGTTCGATCATATGTACCAGTTTCGCACTTTGTAGGCATAATGGCTAAAAATATTCGTAGTTCGTCCCCTTACACAATACATATAAGGTAATGATATTTGAGCCTCTGCAATGCAGATTTTATCTGTGCAATGTTTGTTGCCACCCATGTATCCTCCTCAATTCCTCAATTCCTCCGTCTTGCCCATACAATTAGTGAGTAAGAGACATACACAAGTGGGCCGATGGGCCATATGTGTTTCACTGTCAAGGCTGACCCCGAAAACTGGTATTTGTCCATGACAGTGTACTGTTTCAGTGCGTGAGCGATTTCCAAGGTGATGCATCAACAACAATGTTTAAAATTCTATGGTGCGGTACGCTTTTTGTAACTGTCGTATGCGACCAGCTATCCTTACAGTTACAACTTATAATATATAATACGTGCAGCCGAATTCTCGAAAAAAGTCTTCAAGTTTGCCGTCGTCGACGATATTACGTAGAAGTTTCACATTCCCACAACCTTCACATTCAAGCCTTAAGCACGCAATACACAGGCGAGATCCATCGACACTGAATGTACTAATTCTGTTCTTTTTGAAAATGACAAGTTACAGGAGCGTGTCCAAAATTTCAAACAATTAAATTACGTCCTGATTTATCCATAGTTACTGCTCTTCTGGTCTCTATCCTTCCTTCAGGTCTGTATTCTCAAGCTGTGAGAAGCAGACAGCTCAAAGAACGCTTAATTTGATTAGCATTTATTATCTTCCTCAACTGTACAGTAAAGTGTTCCTCGGAACGGTAAGAAACATAAAGAAAATAATGTTGTTTGGTTCAGCGGTGAACAGAGGAAGAAAATTTCATAATGAACAACGAGTACAGTGGCACAGATTGGCAATTGATATTAAACAATAGACATTTGGTACAGAAATGACAGAAACACGTGGAATATGTAAGAAATTTCTGGGAAAAGGGAAATTGAAAACAAGGAGCTAGTTGTCTTCAAACACGTCTAACCAGAAAGCATGAGGGGTTTTAAGCTGTGTATTGAAGAGCAGTTTTAAGCCGTTGCTAGAGTCAGCGGGCAAACTGTCAAGGGCATAGGTTAATGGGTAATACTGTGTGAAGAGTTCACCTGCGTGCGTGCGCGTTACCGCTAGTGACGTCACGACAACGCAGAGCCTGTTCAGCAGTACCGTTACAGAAGGCAGAATTCAAAATAGCAACAAACGTTGACTTTTCTATGGAGCCCTCACTCAAGACGGTCAGCACAATAGCCATTCTCCAGCTGTGGTTGGCCCATGCACGATATCAGAGCTGGAAGATACGTACGCTACCAGTATGCGAATACAAGCAAGGCAAATTGGTCTCATGTCTGTAGCCGCGGTGTGGCTCCTTTTTTCCAGCTCTTGAACTTGTTGAATATACAGGATGGCGAAAGGACAGAGCACTTGCCTAAAAGAAACAAATAGCGTACCAATTCAAGAATGAAAACTTTTGAGAAAATGGCGATAAATCAGAAATAAAACGGTAGTAACAAGGGAATACCTGCGTTGATATCTTCAGGCAACGCTTTCTTCTTTCTTTGAGAGTAACGACGAATCGCCGCGTGAAAGTCGTCGTCAGCGCGCGGAGACGGCTGAAAATATAATTTGAATTAATTAATTGTTAAATTAATTAATTTGATTTGAAAGTTCGCAAGCAAGTTGACTACCTTTTCAACAGGATTACTGGGGGTGTAGGCTTCCTTCAATTCAGCGACAAGGCTAACCAGAAGATCATCGACATCATGATCCAAAGCAACGGAAATCTCGAGGTTTTCAAAACCAAAATGTGCCGCAGCTGCTCGTACTTCTGAAATCGGGTCTGCTAGCTTTTAGTAAGAAATATTGATTTCTATTATATTTAGTTGGTCGGTGATTTGTTACAAGCGGTAATTTTTTCAAGTCAGAGCCCATGCATTAATCCTCTCGGCCTGAGATTTGGTGGCTCCGGATGGGCAGGTGCACTAGGACCTTACACCTGGTAATCTTAAGTCTGCAAATCCGTATAAACTTTTCAGGGTAGGAAGAAATTCTAATTTTCTCATGGACTGACCTCCACACTGGTTGATTTGGTTTCACTACCCATCAAAAGCCATTGCACAACTTCTAAACAGAGTTCGAATGTGTGGAGAAGCCTTTGGAGGTTAGAGGTGCTGAGATGGTCCTTCATCCGTAGACGTCATTCCATGAGTGAATGCGCCAGTCCCTTATCTTAGGTGCTAGGTATAGACGCTGCCGCAAGGTATTAACGCAGCCCTAAGCAAATCAGGGTCGATTCAGGAAGAAAAAAAACCACCAAGTTTCTTGTTAACTCTAGCGTTTTACACCGTGTCAAGAACCCCATGAGAAGATGTTCCGACGGTTCTACCGTTTGAGTGTTCAAGCGAGCGAATAAATGTTCCCTTCGTAATAACCTGTAATTCACAGGAGACGTGAGACGCTTTTGTTTCATGTTTCTTTATCGGAGCAAAAATCCGCTAACATGGGGATGGGGGGAAGGCTACCTCTCATGCTTTAAGACAGTAGATGAGCTGACTAAGAGGCGGAAGAGCAGTCTTAATCTTGTTGATCAAGAGCATATCTCTAAGGCGCTAAGAGTGGTCACTAGAAGCCCTTTTATTAATGACGTTTGAAGTCATTCTGCTCGTCGGCTTCGCGAGTGCCTTCAGTTTACCAAAATATGTTCTCTAACTCCAGAAAACACATACCACTCTTCGTAACCGTTCGTTTTCGTTCCAGGTCAGCCTTGTTGCCAGCGACAATTATAGGTGAATTCTTGCAACGTGGTGATTCTCTGATCATCTGAAAACATGAGTTTTATCCAGAATGTAGAAAAAGAAAGATGAAGAATTTTAGAAGAAAATTTTGAAGATAATTTTTTGTTTCGTTTTTGTGCGCATGTTAGCTTCACGTTTGCATTTTTCAAAGAGGTAAGTTACCTCTATTGCAACTGTGGCTTGTTTCCAACTTCTTCGTGAATCTATACTGTACACCACAACGAAGGCATCCATTTCATCAGAGATCCAGTTTGGGCCGGACTGAAATAAAGGAGCATTCTACGGTACGCTAAACATTGAGCGCCTATAATCAATCGGTCGCAAATTCTGGGACTGTTCTGAAGTGCTCACCATGTCGCTCTCGAAGAATATCAGGTCTAGTTCTTGGCCACCGATACAAATGGATACGGTATTTTCGTAATCCTCTGAAAGAGAAAAGTTGGTCCGCGAGCAATTTCTTTTGCAAGGTCAGAGAAGAAAGAGTGTGCCTTACGGATTTCATCTGCGAACGCATTCTTATATTCAGAAGTGATTAGTTGACCAATGAGTGATGATTTTCCCGTGCTGGTATCTCCAACAACGCTTATCTGAAAGCAACTCTCGACTATCTAACAAGCTGAAAGCTCAAAGCAAGCTATTGAAAGAAATGAGGGCAGCATTAGAACTCGAGCCACTCTAAAGTCATTTAAGTGGTGCTGCGGCTGAGCGAAAATAGTGATCACATTCCTGTTCGCTGCAGGTGATGGGGCGTGTCACGAGGGATGGGTTTGTCGCAGCACCGAATCCGTTTTCCACCAGTTGCTGAGGCAGGCAAGGGGCAACAATTGCTGGAGAACGACTGACGCAAACAATATGATACAGTCTAGACGCTTGCTCGCTCCAACCAAAGCTGAAAAGCGGATTTGGCGCTGTGCCAAACCCATCCCTCGAAACGCGCCCCATCATCCGCAGCGAACAATACTGAATGTACATGGGTTTCCCCTCGGTAGTTTTTTTGCGCACAGAGTTTTTGAAATAGGCCATACAAGCATTGGAACGCTTCTGTGATTTGAATGGTAATTGTATGCATGGTGGAAGCTCCATTCCTCCTTTATGATCAGGCAAAAGCCTCTATGGGTAACTCTAATAAACAAAACGGGTCCTTCAGATGCCCCCCCCCCAAGCTTACTAGAGTGCCACAGTTTGGCTAGGAATCCCAAAGGAACGGGAGGCTCTTGTCCTCATCGGTTTTTTTCTGCGTTAGACTACCAAGA